TCACACACAAGTAAAATTTTGCTGAAGATCACTCAAAAGCAGTTGCAGCAGTACATCGACAGGGAACTGCCAGAAATTCAAGCTGGATTCAGAAGAGGATGTGGAATGAGGGATATCACTGCTGATGTCAGATGGATCCTAGCTGAAAGCAGAGAATACCAGAAAAATATTTACCTGTGTTTTACTGACTATGCAAAAGCATTTGACTGTGTGGATCATAACAAATTATGGATAACGTTATGAAGAATGAGAATTCCAGAACACTTAATTGTGCTCATGCAGAACCTGTAAGATGTTTACCTGTGTTTTATTGACTAGACAAAGGAAATAGACTGTGTGGATCGTAACAAATTATGGACAACACTATGAGAACAGGAATTCCAGAACACTTAATTTGTGCTCATGCGGAACCTGTACGTAGGCCAAGAGGCAGTCATTCAAACAGAACAAGGGAATACTGTGTGGTTTAAAATCAGGAAAGGAGTGTGTCAGGGTTGTATCTTTTCACCATACTTATTCAATCTGTATGCTGAGCAAATAATCCAAGAAGCTGGATGATACAAAGAAGAACGCAGCATTAGGACTGGAGGCAGGCTCATTAACAACCTGCAATATGTAGATGACACAATCTTGCTTGCTTATAACTGAAGAGGACTGAAGCACCTATTGATGGAGATCAAAGACTATAGTCTTTGGTATGGATTACACCTTAACATAAAGAAAACAAAAATCCTCGTAACTGGACCAATAAGTAACATCATAATAAACGAAGAAAAGATTGAAGTTGTCAAGGATTTCATTTTACTTGGCTCCACAACCAACAGTCATGGAAGCAGCAATCAAGGAATCAAATGATGTACTGCGTTGGGCAAATCTGCTGCAAAATACCTCTCTAAAGTGTTAAAAAGCAAAGATGTCTCTATAAAGACTAAGCTGTGCCGGATCCAAGCTGTGATGTTTTCAATCGCCTCATACGCATACGAAAGCAGGACACTGAATAAAGAGGAAGAATTGATGCCTTTGAATTGTGGTGTTGGTGAGGAATAATGAATATACCATGAACTGTCAGAAGAGCAAGCAAATCTGTTTTTGAAGAAATACAGCCAGAATACTCCTTAGAAGCAGGGATGGCAAGCCTTTGTCTCACATACTTTGGACATCTTATCAGGAGGGACCAGTCCCTGGAGAAGGACATCATGCTTGGTAAAGTAGACGGTCAGCAAAAAAGAGGAAGATCCTCAACAAGACGGACTGACACAGTGACTGTAACAATGGGCTCAAGCATAACAACAATTGTGAGGATGGTGCAGGACCAGACAGTGTTTTGTTCTGCTGTACACATGGTCGCTATGAGTCAGAACTGACTCAGCAGCACCTAACAACAACAACAACAACATGAAAATCCTACATCTAACATCATACTTAAAGGTGAAATACTGAATACTTTCTAAGATCAGGAACTAGGCAAGGCTGTCTATTGTTAGAATGTACCGGAAGTCTTATTCAATAAAATAAGGCAAACAAAAGACATAGTTGTGTATATAAAAAAATCTAAATGAATCTGTAGAAGAATTACTGGAACTAATAAATTATTTAGGTCAGAGGATACAAGGTCAATATACAAAACTCAACTGTATTTCTCTATACTAGCGACAACCATTATCTGGAAAATAAAATTTTAAAAATTATCATTTACAACATTATCAGGAACTCGAACTCAAAATATTTAGGAATAAGTTTATCAAAAGATGTGTAAGATCTCTAAACTGAAAATGACAAAGCACTGCTTAAGAGCAAAGAAAGAAGACCTAAATAACAGAACAGATAAACTATGTTGATAGAGTGGAAAAGAAAATAGCAAGACCCAACCAACAAACATAAAAAATGAAATTTGGCTGGACTCTAACTAAGAAAAAAAGTCAGCCACATAAAATTTTTTTTCTACAATTGAGGAAATTTAAATATTCTAGGATAGAAATATGATATTGTAGCATTAAAGCTAAATTTCTTAAGGAAAAGTAGATATTGTGGTTATGTAGGAGAACGTCCTTTTTCTTAGCAGATGAATGCCTAAGTATCAAAGGATGACACCTGTATT